TGCTGGCTCAAGAGGCCCAGAGAGAGACGGCCTGGACACACAGAACATAGGAGGATGGTGTGCTGCCTCAAGAGGACCAGAGAGAGACGGCCTGGACACACAGAACATAGGAGGATGGTGTACTGCCTCAAGAGGCCCAGAGAGAGACGGCCTGGACACACAGAACATAGGAGGATGGTGTGCTGCCTCAAGAGGCCCAGAGAGAGACGGCCTGGACACACAGAACATAGGAGGATGGTGTGCTGCCTCAAGAGGACCAGAGAGAGACGGCCTGGACACACAGAACATAGGAGGATGGTGTGCTGCCTCAAGAGGCCCAGAGAGAGACGGCCTGGACACACAGAACATAGGAGGATGGTGTGCTGCCTCAAGAGGACCAGAGAGAGACGGCCTGGACACACAGAACATAGGAGGATGGTGTGCTGCCTCAAGAGGCCCAGAGAGAGACGGCCTGGACACACAGAACATAGGAGGATGGTGTGCTGCCTCAAGAGGACCAGAGAGAGACGGCCTGGACACACAGAACATAGGAGGATGGTGTACTGCCTCAAGAGGCCCAGAGAGAGACGGCCTGGACACACAGAACATAGGAGGATGGTGTACTGCCTCAAGAGGCCCAGAGAGAGACGGCCTGGACACACAGAACATAGGAGGATGGTGTGCTGCCTCAAGAGGCCCAGAGAGAGACGGCCTGGACACACAGAACATAGGAGGATGGTGTGCTGCCTCAAGAGGCCCAGAGAGAGACGGCCTGGACACACAGAACATAGGAGGATGGTGTGCTGCCTCAAGAGGCCCAGAGAGAGACGGCCTGGACACACAGAACATAGGAGGATGGTGTGCTGCCTCAAGAGGCCCAGAGAGAGACGGCCTGGACACACAGAACATAGGAGGATGGTGTGCTGCCTCAAGAGGCCCAGAGAGAGACGGCCTGGACACACAGAACATAGGAGGATGGTGTGCTGCCTCAAGAGGACCAGAGAGAGACGGCCTGGACACACAGAACATAGGAGGATGGTGTGCTGCCTCAAGAGGACCAGAGAGAGACGGCCTGGACACACAGAACATAGGAGGATGGTGTGCTGCCTCAAGAGGACCAGAGAGAGACGGCCTGGACACACAGAACATAGGAGGATGGTGTGCTGCCTCAAGAGGACCAGAGAGAGACGGCCTGGACACACAGAACATAGGAGGATGGTGTGCTGCCTCAAGAGGACCAGAGAGAGACGGCCTGGACACACAGAACATAGGAGGATGGTGTGCTGCCTCAAGAGGACCAGAGAGAGACGGCCTGGACACACAGAACATAGGAGGATGGTGTGCTGCCTCAAGAGGACCAGAGAGAGACGGCCTGGACACACAGAACATAGGAGGATGGTGTACTGCCTCAAGAGGACCAGAGAGAGACGGCCTGGACACACAGAACATAGGAGGATGGTGTGCTGCCTCAAGAGGACCAGAGAGAGACGGCCTGGACACACAGAACATAGGAGGATGGTGTGCTGCCTCAAGAGGACCAGAGAGAGACGGCCTGGACACACAGAACATAGGAGGATGGTGTGCTGCCTCAAGAGGACCAGAGAGAGACGGCCTGGACACACAGAACATAGGAGGATGGTGTACTGCCTCAAGAGGCCCAGAGAGAGACGGCCTGGACACACAGAACATAGGAGGATGGTGTACTGCCTCAAGAGGCCCAGAGAGAGACGGCCTGGACACACAGAATATAGGAGGATGGTGTGCTGCCTCAAGAGGCCCAGAGAGAGACGGCCTGGACACACAGAATATAGGAGGATGGTGTGCTGCCTCAAGAGGCCCAGAGAGAGACGGCCTGGACACACAGAACATAGGAGGATGGTGTGCTGCCTCAAGAGGCCCAGAGAGAGACGGCCTGGACACACAGAACATAGGAGGATGGTGTGCTGCCTCAAGAGGCCCAGAGAGAGACGGCCTGGACACACAGAACATAGGAGGATGGTGTGCTGCCTCAAGAGGCCCAGAGAGAGACGGCCTGGACACACAGAACATAGGAGGATGGTGTGCTGCCTCAAGAGGACCAGAGAGAGACGGCCTGGACACACAGAACATAGGAGGATGGTGTGCTGCCTCAAGAGGACCAGAGAGAGACGGCCTGGACACACAGAACATAGGAGGATGGTGTGCTGCCTCAAGAGGACCAGAGAGAGACGGCCTGGACACACAGAACATAGGAGGATGGTGTGCTGCCTCAAGAGGACCAGAGAGAGACGGCCTGGACACACAGAACATAGGAGGATGGTGTGCTGCCTCAAGAGGACCAGAGAGAGACGGCCTGGACACACAGAACATAGGAGGATGGTGTGCTGCCTCAAGAGGACCAGAGAGAGACGGCCTGGACACACAGAACATAGGAGGATGGTGTGCTGCCTCAAGAGGACCAGAGAGAGACGGCCTGGACACACAGAACATAGGAGGATGGTGTACTGCCTCAAGAGGACCAGAGAGAGACGGCCTGGACACACAGAACATAGGAGGATGGTGTGCTGCCTCAAGAGGACCAGAGAGAGACGGCCTGGACACACAGAACATAGGAGGATGGTGTGCTGCCTCAAGAGGACCAGAGAGAGACGGCCTGGACACACAGAACATAGGAGGATGGTGTGCTGCCTCAAGAGGACCAGAGAGAGACGGCCTGGACACACAGAATATAGGAGGATGGTGTGCTGCCTCAAGAGGCCCAGAGAGAGACGGCCTGGACACACAGAATATAGGAGGATGGTGTGCTGCCTCAAGAGGCCCAGAGAGAGACGGCCTGGACACACAGAACATAGGAGGATGGTGTACTGCCTCAAGAGGCCCAGAGAGAGACGGCCTGGACACACAGAATATAGGAGGATGGTGTACTGCCTCAAGAGGACCAGAGAGAGACGGCCTGGACACGGGCTGCTTGACGTGGACCAACACGGCTGTAAGATGTCCACACTTGGGGCATGGGGGAGGGGAGACCTCCGGGGCAATCCAGGAAGGAGAAGCAACTGTTTGAATTAAAGACGGGGAAAAGCTACATGTATAGAGCTCTACACATTTAAAGCTAAATGCACAGAACACGAAGCTTGACACAGGAGACACACAGTAACCAGACAACATCAGCAGCACATACGAGGTTGTCGAAGCTACGAGTAACCTCCAGAAGCTTGGAGAATACACGAGACGAGTACTAGAGTGTGCATTCCTCAGTGTGCAATCCCCGTCTGCATTTGCGAACAGCGACACTAAGAGAGTGTTGTGACTTGTCCTTAACGAAGAGACTGGCCTCGTCGTTCTCCCCAGAGCTAGAGCTCTCTGTGCTGGGTAGAGAGACGAGACACAGGGGGGACATGATTACTATATACACAGTACACACAGAGTGATAAATTGTACAAAAGACAAGTGTTGAGCACTAACAACGGCAGGGCGAGAGGGCCTTGGGTAGGAAATTGGAAACCCAGATTTGCTACTGGATGTTAAAAATCCCTTGGTCAGTGTCACAGTAGTGATCAAGTGGTATGATAAGAATAGAGTCACAAGCCATTTCAAAAACTTATGGCGAGTTACCGGAAATGACCCTCAGCTTACAACTATCCGTAAACAAACCCAATTTTTAACTTACCTCTGCCATACAACTGCACCAATTCCAGCGAGCGACGAGTCCACCAAAGAAACAATTGTATCTTTCACTTTATCTTTCACCAGGGAGACCCGAATCGCTCCACCGAATTTAATCTCTCTCCTCCTGTGATACCAGCAGAGGATTCCCCCCTGACGAAGAAGGGCAACACTGCCTGTCCTGTAATGGGATGGGAGGGAATCGCGCCGTAGGGTTGGGTGGGGAGGATCTTGAGGCGGCGGAAGGCGGGAGTTGACGTGGGGGTCTAGAGAATCGCCAGAGAGAGGGCGGGAGTGAACAGATCCCACACGCAGAGGTCTGCTTCCCGCTTGGGCCGCACGCACACTGTTGCTGGAGATGCTGCTGGCCTGCTCTACACTCCCGCGGGCTTCGCACGCACGCACGCACGCCCTCTGAGGGCCACCACCAGCGAGGGGAAACTGAGTGAGGGGGGAATGAGTGTATGGGACGAGCCGAAAGGGATAATATGACGGGAACATTCAGGTGTATGCCAGTGTACTCACCCACATGTGCAAGCAGCATCGAGTTTTAATTCTTGAATTCCACCTTACCAGCCGTCTGACTCTAAATGAAATGACTCCTAATTATCCTGTTTGTTATCGTGTGTGTGTGTGTGTGTGCTTTTGAAGTAGCGAACTGGGTTATCGTCTTGTCCCTTTATACCATTCCCCTTTCTCTCTAGCCCCCGAGTTAAAGACACTCTTACTGATGAGTCTCTTTAAGAGTTCATCACAGTCCAGTCCTCTTAGCTCAGCATCATTGCTTCAACTGTCTCCGGGTGGTAAGTGCTACTTGAGGTAGGGGGCTCCATGTTAGGGGCTCCATGCTAGGGGGCTCCATGCTAGGGGGCTCCATGTTAGGGGCTCCATGCTAGGGGCTCCATGCTAGGAGGCTCCATGCTAGAAGGGGCTCCATGTTAGGGGCTCCATGCTAGGGGGCTCCATGCTAGGGGCTCCATGCTAGGGGGCTCCATGCTAGGGGGCTCCATGCTAGGGGGCTCCATGCTAGGGGCTCCATGCTATTGCTCCATGGTAGGGGCTCCATGCTAAAGGCTCCATGCTAGGGGGCTCCATAAAGTAATTGTTAGTACCTGCTATTGTTAGGGCTCCATGTTAGTAAGTGTCTTATAGAACACAAATGGTTCTTGCTTTTATATAAAATTGCCAGACGGGTTTCAACCAGTTCGTCGTTTTCTGCGAGAAGCAATAAAAGAAAGAACACAAACTGATCAGGTTATTCAGCAACCCGTCTTATGGTTATAGGGAGGCGCGCTGGCCAATGCATCTAAGAGACAGACACGTGTTAAACCGTCTCCCAGACTGTTTGTACAAGAGCATCACCTTTGTCGAGACCTTCATGTGAAGCCAACACGGAGGGGTGTGGAAGCCTTCGCTGGAGGGTGAGGATATCCCTCCTCAATGAGGGCAAGGAAGCCTTCCCCTGAGAGGATCAGGAAGCCCTCCACTGAGAGGATCAGGAAGCCCTCCGCTGAGAGGATCAGGAAGCCCTCCGCTGAGAGGATCAGGAAGCCCTCCCCTGAGAGGATCAGGAAGCCTTCCCCTGAGAGGATCAGGAAGCCTTCCCCTGAGAGGATCAGGAAGCCTTCCCCTGAGAGGATCAGGAAGCCCTCCCCTGAGAGGATCAGGAAGCCCTCCCCTGAGAGGATCAGGAAGCCCTCCGCTGAGAGGATCAGGAAGCCCTCCACTGAGAGGATCAGGAAGCCCTCTCCTGAGAGGATCAGGAAGCCCTCCGCTGAGAGGATCAGGAAGCCCTCCCCTGAGAGGATCAGGAAGCTCTACCCTGAGAGGATCAGGAAGCTCTCCCCTGAGAGGATCAGGAAGCCCCCCCCCCCCTGTGGTGCCGAGGGAGCTGGACCATCCCAGGACCACAACAGTCGTGGACAAATTCCTCACTTTATGTTTTTTTTTCACACCAACATCCGCTCCTGCCCTCCAACCCTGCCACGATGTTCACACGTGTGTCTCCTCCTCCCTCACCCATTATGTCCTCCCTCACCCATTATGTCCTCCCTCACCCATTATGTCCTCCCTCACCCATTATGTCCAGTCTCCTCTCCTCCCTCACCCATTATGTCCAGTCTCCTTTCCTCCCTCACCCATTCCTAGTACCACTCCATTTCCGCAAACTTCTACTCCCTCTTCCCTCTCTACAAGTATCTCACTTACTCTTCCCATTACTGTTTTTCATTTACTCCTTCCTCCTTTTACATGGTTTCCCTCCCTTACTCTACCTCCAACACTCCACCCGTCCCCTCCAACACTCCACCCGTCCCCTCCAACACTCCACCCGTCCCCTCCAACACTCCACCCGTCCCCTCCAACACTCCACCCGTCCCCTCCAACACTCCACCCGTCCCCTCCAACACTCCACCCGTCCCCTCCAACACTCGACCCGTCCCCTCCAACACTCCACCCGTCCCCTCCAACACTCCACCCGTCCCCTCCAACACTCGACCCGTCCCCTCCAACAATGACACTATGTAAAAGACACCTCGAACACTGTTTATGTAGGGCAGACGTAAATCTGTGTATTTATGTATTTATGTTAGATTAGCATTTAAAAAGCACTACAATCACCTTCTGTGGTTGACTGTTCAATTAAATCACTGAATTGTATGTTTAACACATCTCTAACCCTGTCCATGGAGGACAAAAGAAAATGTATATATATGCTGGTTAGCATTGTAAATGTCTGGCCACGTCTGTGGTAGAAAAAAACGCTACCTGTCCTCATCTTCTTAGTTCACAAATATTCTCCTTCTCTTCTCTCCTCCTCCTCCTCCTCCTCTTCCTTTCTCTCTTCTTCCCAACCAAATTCTTGCTTACCATTCTGTCTCTTCACTCACCTTTCACCTTTTCATCCATTTCTTTCTTATTACTGGGCACCATTCCTTTCCCTCCCCCCCCCCGCCGTCCCATCCAAAATCCTTATCCTGACCCCTTCCATGTGATATATAGTCGTCATGGCTTGGCGCTTTCCTCTGATGGTTTATATATGGAGAAAATGGGAAGGGAACTATTAGAATGTGAGCCATAAATGGGTGGGTTTATGGGGCCCAGGGGACCGAATGGGTGGGTGTATGGGGCCCAGGAGACCGAATAGGTGGGTGTATGGGGCCCAGGAGACCGAATGGGTGGGTATATGGGGCCCAGGAGACCGAATGGGTGGGTTTATGGGGCCCAGGGGACTGAATGGGTGGGTGTATGGGGCCCAGGGGACCGAATGAGTGGGTGTATGGGGCCCAGGAGACCGAATCAGTGGGTGTATGGGGCCCAGGAGACCGAATGGGTGGGTGTATGGGGCCCAGGGGACTGAATGGGTGGGTGTATGGGGCCCAGGGGACTGAATGGGTGGGTGTTTGGGGCCCAGGGAACCGAATGGGTGGGTGTTTGGGGCCCAGGGGACCGAATGGGTGGGTGTTTGGGGCCCAGGGGACCGAATGAGTGGATGGATGGGGGGCCCATGGGGACCAGATTAGGGAACCCTTGTACCCGTCCCGGCCTGCCTCCTAATTGGCAGTTACTGGCCCTTACTGGCGTCGTTAACGCGAGGCATTACGAAGAATTGATGCATTTTGTTTGTGGGTAACCGAATTGCCACTTATAGGGGCGAGGTGTTGTTAGTCACGCTAATGATCGGTAACTAATATTGGGGAACACTGGGCCACTATTGTATTAGAATGATGTGTTTAAGAGCAGAATTTCTTCACACACACACACACACACACACACACACACACACACACACACACACACACACACACACACACACACACACACACACACACACACACACACACACACACGGGAACGCGTTTTCCACAGGAAAGCTCGGGGAGACATGATCACTACCAACAAAATTCTCAGAGGAATTGACAGGGTTGATGAGCTGTTTAACACGGGTGGTACGCGAACAAGGGGACACAGGTGGAAATTGAGCATCCAAATGAGCAACAGGGACGTTATAAAGAACTTTTTTCAGTGTCAGAGTAGTTTACAAGTGGAATGCATTAGGGAGTGATGTGGTGGAGGCTGACTCCATACACAGTTTCCGATGTAGATATGATAGAGCCCAGTAGGCTCAGGAACCTGTACACCAGTTGATTGATGGTCGAAAGGCGGGACCAAAGAGCCAGAGCTCAACTCCAACAAGCACAACTAGGTGAGTACACACACACATACACAGTTTCAAATATCGGTATGATAGAAGCCAATAGGCTCAAGAACCTATACACCAGTTGACTGATAGTCGAGAGGCGGGACCAAAAATCCGAAGCTCAGCCTCGTCCAACACAACTAGTCGAGTACAATTAGGTGAGTACGTTCATTAAGGGTACGAGAACGAGTGGACAAAATTAGAATAATTAACCTCGCCGGAAGTACAATTAAATATCCATCACCATAAAAATGGAAAGCTTCCATTCCTCTCTCTTCAACACACTGAGCAAAGCCTCCTCCATAGCCATCAACCTTCCTCAAGTATATAATTATATTTTTATCGCATTAATGAAGTGAAGAATTGTGCTAATTAAACTAAGGTGGTCTGGCTCGTTTAAACAAAAATTATTAAGATTTGTTTGGAAAACACAGAAAATGGACCATACGCCGCGTTTTCTATGTTGTGCTGGTAGTTAACAATGTTTAATAATTTTGTGATTAGTTTAAAGTGAGTGTCGACTGGTTTTCTGCACAGATGTTCACAAATCATAATTTTTTGGCACGTTAATATCTGGAGACGCATTAGGCTGAAGATTTTACACATAAGAAATATATATATATATGCAAACAAGCCTGAATGGTCCCCAGGACTATATACAACTGAAAACTCACACCCCAGAAGTGACTCGAACCCATACTCCCACAACTGGTATGTACAGGGACGCCTTAATCCGCTTGACCATCACGACCGGACAAAAGGAAGTGATAGCCGAGGCTATATGAACCACTTCCCCGCCGGCACTCGGATGGTAATCTTGGGCATAGCATTTTATCAAATCACCTCATTCTTTGGGGCACACGTGAGGAACACAAATGCAAACAAGCCTGAATGGTCCCCAGGACTATATACAACTGAAAACTCACACCCCAGAAGTGACTCGAACCCATACTCCCACAACTGGTATGTACAGGGACGCCTTAATCCGCTTGACCATCACGACCGGACAAAAGGAAGTGATAGCCGAGGCTATATGAACCACTTCCCCGCCGGCACTCGGATGGTAATCTTGGGCATAGCATTTTATCAAATCACCTCATTCTTTGGGGCACACGTGAGGAACACAAATGCAAACAAGCCTGAATGGTCCCCAGGACTATATACAACTGAAAACTCACACCCCAGAAGTGACTCGAACCCATACTCCCACAACTGGTATGTACAGGGACGCCTTAATCCGCTTGACCATCACGACCGGACAAAAGGAAGTGATAGCCGAGGCTATATGAACCACTTCCCCGCCGGCACTCGGATGGTAATCTTGGGCATAGCATTTTATCAAATCACCTCATTCTTTGGGGCACACGTGAGGAACACAAATGCAAACAAGCCTGAATGGTCCCCAGGACTATATACAACTGAAAACTCACACCCCAGAAGTGACTCGAACCCATACTCCCACAACTGGTATGTACAGGGACGCCTTAATCCGCTTGACCATCACGACCGGACAAAAGGAAGTGATAGCCGAGGCTATATGAACCACTTCCCCGCCGGCACTCGGATGGTAATCTTGGGCATAGCATTTTATCAAATCACCTTCCTAATAAAGCGGAAATGGAAGTTTGAAGACCTGGGAAATCGAGTTACCAATGAGTGCACAAGCTTCATACATGGAACTCTGACAGTAGATGGGAGGAAGATTGTGATCATGGTAATCTACAATCCCCCACCAAACAGTAGAAGACCCAGGCAGGAGTATGATGACAACAACAAAGCATGTATTGATGAACTGCAGAAGGCAGCAACACTAGCCCACAGAATGAGAGCGAAGCTGCTGATCATGGGGGACCTAAATCATGGAGAGATAAATTGGGAATCAAGGAATCCCATGGAGGGGATGAAACGTGGGGAGCAAAATTAGTAGATGTTATAGACAGGAATTTCCTGACACAACATGTGAAGGAAGACACAAGGGAAAGAGGAGGAGATGCACCGAGCCTATTAGACCTGATTTTCACCCAGAACGTAGAAGATATCGAGAATTTAGAGCATGAAATACCTCTAGGGGCCAGTGACCATTGTGTCCTAGTCTTTGACTACATGATGGAATTCAAAATTATGACCATGGGACAAGAGATCTGGGAAAGGAGAGCTGACTACAGGAAAGGGGACTATATGAGGATAAGGGACTATCTGGGTGAAGTGCAGTGGGAGGAAGAAATTAGAGGAAAAACAGTCCAAGATATGATGGACCTAGTCATACAGAAATGCCAGGAGGCCGAAGAGAGATTTATACCAACGGTAAAGGGAAAAAATAAGAAGGAATATAATAACCCATGGTTTAATAGACAGTGTCAGGAAGCAAAAATGGCCAGCAGGCGGGAGTGGAGGAAGTACAGAAGACAAAGAACAGAGGACAACAGAAGCAGATACAACAGAGCTAGGAACGATTACATTAACATAAGACGAACATCGGAAAGGGACTATGAGAACGATATTGCAATCAAAGCGAAAAAACAACCTAAGTTACTACACAGTCATATAAGAAGAAAAATGTCGGTGAACGACCAAGTGACAAGACTAAGGAAGACAGAGGGGGCATATACTGAAAGTGACAAGGAAATCTGCGAGGCACTGAATGCCAGTTTCCATGGAGTGTTCACTACCGAGCCTGAGCAGCTCCCATTGTTGGAAGGGGTTACCCTAGATGAAAGACTATCAGATATAGAGGTGACAGCAGAGGAGGTAATGAAACAGTTGACAACTCTAGATGCAACTAAAGCAGTTGGACCAGACAAAGTATCACCGTGGATACTAAAAGAAGCAGCACAGGCCCTCAGCGTGCCTCTGGCAATGATCTTTAATGAGTCACTTATGTCAGGAGAATTGCCCAGTTGCTGGAAGAAGGCAAATGTCGTGCCGATCTTCAAGAAAGGAGATAGGGAGGAGGCACTTAACTACAGACCTGTATCACTGACAAGCATCCCCTGTAAAATACTGGAAAGAATAATTAGGCTACGACTGGTTGCACACCTGGAGAACATTAGGTTTGTGAACAAACATCAACATGGGTTCTGGACAGGGAAATCGTGCCTAACAAACCTTCTGGAATTCTATGATAAAATAACGAGGATAAGACAGGACAGAGATGGTTGGGCAGACTGCATATTTCTGGACTGCCAAAAAGCCTTTGATACAGTACCGCACATGAGACTGCTGTTCAAGCTCGAGAGGCAGGCGGGGGTGGGGGGAAAGGTCCTAGAATGGATAAGGAACTACCTAACAGGAAGGAGCCAAAGAGTTACGGTAAGGGGCGAGAAGTCGGACTGGCGAACAGTAACAAGTGGAGTACCACAAGGATCGGTGCTGGGACCAATTCTATTTCTTGTGTATGTTAACGACATGTTTACAGGCGTAGAGTCCTACATGTCGATGTTTGCGGATGATGCAAAGTTGATGAGAAGAGTTGTGACAGATGAGGATTGCAGGATCCTCCAAGAGGACCTGAACAGATTGCAGAGATGGTCAGAGAAATGGCTACTAGAATTCAACACGAGCAAATGTAAAGTTATGGAAATGGGACTAGGAGATAGGAGACCAAAGGGACAGTACACAATGAAGGGGAACAGCCTACCTGTAACGACGCGTGAAAGAGACCTGGGGGTGGACGTAACACCTAATCTATCTCCTGAGGCACATATTAATAGGATAACGACAGCAGCGTACTCTA